TTATGATGTAAACACCAAGGGCAGATATGTCCTTTCATGTAACTAGCATAACCTATATATATTAACTTAAAGTGGCGGCGGCAGAATATTGACATTCTGTTCTTCTCCTCAAAATCTGTGTTCTACTGCTCTTTCACCACTCTTTCTTCTACTTCTTCTTCACTTTTCCTCTCATCGAACCTGAAATCTCTTAGTGGTCAAGACTGAATAGCAGTCTTGAAAACCTACATCAATGATTTGTATTTCTGATAATAAATTTGTAATTTATACATCAGATCCTATGTACAAAGAACATCTGTGCAACTCTATACAGAAATATCAACAACTAATCCAAAGAAGGTATGTACAATATGTATCAAAAAGAGATTCAAAAAAAAAAAGTTCAGAAAGAAGTTGCTAAAGGTCAGCAAATGCTAGGCGTGGACAATTTTTGCAAACTGAACCGGTCCTACCGGTTTTTCAATTTCTCCAAACTGAAACCGAACCAGTACCACCGGTTAAACGGTCCGTTGGTTTTGGTTTTTGACCGGTTCGGTTCTTCGGTTTTTTGGTTTTTTATATTTATAGTATATTATATAAATATATGTATAATATTATATTATAAACAATAAATGATAATATAATATATTATAAATATTATAAAAATATATAATATATTAATAAATAGATTATTATAAATATAATATATGTATACTTATATATAATGCATATAAATTTATATATAATATATAGAAAATATGTGACATATATTTAAGATATATATAAAATATACATATAAATATATATACCAGTCGGTTCGGTTAACCGCATTTTCCAGTTTGGTTTTCTCGGTTCGGTTCGTTTTGTCGGTTTTTCATGGACACCCCTAGCAAATGCCAATAGACTTGTTCTCCATTTCTCTACTAAGCTTCCCTATTTGCTAAATCACTTTACTGCTGCTCTACTTATTCTTGGTATGTCCTCACTAAGTCACTAGTGTTCCCTGGTCTGCAAGTGGCCAAACTAACAAAGGCCATGATGACCACCCTCCAGACAATAAGACTGGGTTGAGGAAAAAATGTAATGACTTGTATTTCTGATAATAAAACTGTAATTTATACATCAGATCCTATGTACAAAGAAGAAAAGCACAAAGTGCTTGATGGATCCAGCCTCAAATAATGGAAACAAGAGGTTAATAAAAAGTAAAAGTCCTGGTAGGTCACTTGGCCCTGTCATAAATCAATGGACTCGGGCCAAAAACCAAGACAATAAAACAATGATACAATTAAGGGTATAAAATAAAAATAAAATATAAAAAAATATAAGTTCAACACTTTCTTTAAGTGACAAACTCACTGGATTCCAAGTACTCTATATCAAATAGAAGGATGGGATACTGGTAAATAGACTCAATACATGGAAAATAGATTACCTTCGGAATGTGAGGAGGTTTCATTGAGATCTGTATCAAGTGAATCAGTGGCCTCAGAATATACACTAAGATGAGCTCCTTCATCAATATCCACACCTAATGCAAATGCTGCAGCACGACTTTTCCCCATTTCCTGTACAACTCTTGCTGCTGCATGAAGTACAGGCCTGGAGAAACTCCGAAAGGAACTCTCCAACCTAAGGAGAAATTAAGACAAGAAACAATGTTTTAGAATAATTATATTAGAAAACCACAAATAACGTTCAACTGTCAATTCTTAAATTCGCATAATTCAAGAATCCACCTATGACCCAGATTATGCAAGAATTTCATCAAGAAAAAAATATCAAAGCATGGAAAAAAACCAAAAAAACAAAAGAACTTTCATAGACCTTCTCATCACAAGTTTGATAAGAGGCTGAGGACGTCTTGATTTTTGAGATTTATCTTTGGAAGGCTTTGGTGGGAGGCTGTCTTTTGATTCAACACTAGTTTCCTTCAATGATACTGATGGTGCTTCTGGCAACTTGAGAATTTCTCTTGTTAACCGGTACCACCCAGCAGCTCGCTCTTCAGCCCTACAATTGATATATGTCAGACTAAAAGTGTATACTGAGAGAAACATTAATGCCCAAAGATCCACAACCTTCAGACATATACCTCTCTGTGTTATCAAATTTGCCCAATACACAGAGAATTGCCTCAAAACAAACCCTTTCACTGGGATCCAGTAAAAGTTGATACAGTACAGATGCAAACTGAGCTTTAATATCAGGTCTTTCTGTATAAACAACATTTTACCAATATCAACTATTAGTCCTGCTCAAATACAAATATACTAATTTGGAAGCATTGAGAATTAAGAAAAAAATAAGAGTACAAAAAAAAAACAAACATTTACCATCTAATGCACGAGCTCTAGATATTGTATGACAAAGTCTTGCAAGGGCAACTCTAGCAAGAACATCATGCAAATGAAGAACATCCTGCAAAGCCCCTGATTCATAGGAGTACATGAGTATAACACAACAACCTCATACTTGATCAGCAGTCACAAGAAAACCCAAATATGAAATTACCAAATAAAAAAAAACAAATAAACATCTCTAAAACCATAAATCTGCAAAACCCATTTTGACTAAACAAAGTTTTCAAATCAATTGTCTAGAATGTAAAGTCCTTGATATGCCCTGAACTTGCGATTGAGAAATCACATAACTCATATATATATATAGATATACATGGTAAGTGTTTGATTTGACAATTCAAAGTCATGTCAAAGATACCTGCAGGTCCTGCACACACCCCAAAGCATTCAAGGATTACCAGATGCTGTTTATTTATTCTAATAAGTGTTATTCTAGTTTCTCAATGCCAACGAAAAAGGCCATTACCCAATTCTAGTCTTGGCTATTTGTGGCCTTGGGATGGGTGAACTAAATGTCAACCTAACCCCTAGCATTTTGGCACGTGTACAGACAGGAGAGATCTAGAGTATTATATGCAGCTTCCAGTAAAAACCCAAATCCCTCTCCCAAAGGAATTTCCATTGTTACGAAATTATAGGCTGTAAATATGTAGTATTAGCCCAATTAGGAATAGCTTGATTATA